AGTCTTGATCGTTGTGGCCATTGGGCCACACAACTGGCCCAACTGACCACCCACTGAGTCTCTGTACCAGGGATACATGTTCATCCTGAAAAATATATAAATCGAATGATGAGAAATGTTTGTTCTGAACACTATGTTAAGGTAGGTTTTCATCTCTATAAACTTGTTCCGTAATCTGTCCAACACATTGTGAGACAAGCGCTGGAGAAAAAATTCGACAATTTGTCGCAACCTGTGCTGTATCTTGCGCCGCGATAATTTCACTTTTCACAGGTAACAGATATATTCTCAAGGGTCAAATCTTAAAGAGCCCCACAACTGTAGAAAAAATTATGCTAAATGTGCAAATTTTAAACATATGAGCCTGTTTGACTAACTTGATCACTTTAATTTTTTATTATTTTCATAACTTTTTTTCAGAGATAACTAATGACAGCACTGCATGGGAAGTGTAGAGTCAAACTACTTGGCGCCATTTTCTGACTCAAATCGCGAGTTACGCCACTGAAAACGTATCAAGTTTCAAGAAGAAAACTACTCTATAAGCCTTTTCATTTAATAAAACTGCATGCATTTTGAATTATATAGATATTTTTCACTTTGTTCACGCTAAAGACAACATCAATTAAATTTCTTTCCCAATAAAAACAAATTTTGATAGGTTCGGTCCAAAAAATTGTTTTTGTAAAACCTTACATTCGCTCCCGTCTTATCTCACACTTTAAAAATTCAACATAGCCTCTAACTTAATGTAAGACGGCAAAGCGATGTTGCCATACGTTCCATTTTTCCCTGACATAAAGCAAACGTTGCTCGTACCGCAATTATTGTTGCTTCCGACTGTACCTGACCAAACCCCGATTGACGTGCGTATTTCATATCTGCAAAGTATCCATTTAGAGTATGAAAAAACGGAAAAAATGATCGTTTAGCCGTGAAGAGTTCATCTGAAGCCGGTGATCATTTTCTTGTTTGCCATTAAATAATATACACCAGGTCTATATCGGAGAAGAACGATGCAATTTCTAAAAGTTCCATTTGTTGTAACAAGTCCGGTGTTTAGGCCTTAGGCCTTCGTAGTAGTTGAAATATAAAAAAAAATTGCATATAGATTTTTCACTTTGTTCACGCTAAAGACAACATCAATGAAATTTCTTTCCCAATAAAAACAAATTTTGATAGGTACGGTCCAAAAAATTGTAAAGCTTTTTTCAAAACCTTACATTCGCTCCCGTCTTATCTCACACTTTAAAAATTCAACATAGCCTCTAACTTAATGTAAGACGGCAAAGCGATGTTGCCATACGTTCCAATTTTCCCTGACATAAAGCAAACGTTGCTCGTACCGCAATTATTGTTGCTTCCGACTGTACCTGACCAAACCCCGATTGAAGTGCGTATTTCATATCTGCAAAGTATCCATTTAGAGTACGAAAAAACGGAAAAAATGATCGTTTAGCCGTGAAGAGTTCATCTGAAGCCGGTGATCATTTTCTTGTTTGCCATTAAATAATATACACCAGGTCTATATCGGAGAAGAACGATGCAATTTCTAAAAGTTCCATTTGTTGTAACAAGTCCGGTGTTTAGGCCTTAGGCCTTCGTAGTAGTTGAAATATAAAAAAAAATTGCATAGAGATTTTTCACTTTGTTCACGCTAAAGACAACATCAATTAAATTTCTTTCCCAATAAAAACAAATTTTGATAGGTTCGGTCCAAAAAATTGTAAAGTTTTTTTAAAACCTTACATTCGCTCCCGTCTTATCTCACACTTTAAAAATTCAACATAGCCTCTAACTTAATGTAAGACGGCAAAGCGATGTTGCCATACGTTCCAATTTTCCCTGACATAAAGCAAACGTTACTCGTTCCGCAATTATTGTTGCTTCCGACTGTACCTGACCAAACCCCGATTGACGTGCGTATTTCATATCTGCAAAGTATCCATTTAGAGTACGAAAAAACGGAAAAAATGATCGTTTAGCCGTGAAGAGTTCATCTGAAGCCGGTGATCATTTTCTTGTTTGCCATTAAATAATATACACCAGGTCTATATCGGAGAAGAACGATGCAATTTCTAAAAGTCCCATTTGTTGTAACAAGTGCGGTGTTTAGGCCTTAGGTCTTCGTGGTAGTTGGAATATAAAAAAAAATGCATAGAGATTTTTCACTTTGTTCACGCTAAAGACAACATCAATGAAATTTCTTTCCCAATAAAAATAAATTTTGATAGGTACGGTCCAAAAAATTGTAAAGCTTTTTTAAAACCTTACATTCGCTCCCGTCTTATCTCACACTTTAAAAATTCAACACAGCCTCTAACTTAATGTAAGACAGCAAAGCGATGTTGCCATACGTTCCAATTTTCCCTGATATAAAGCAAACGTTGCTCGTACCGCAATTATTGTTGCTTCCGACTGTACCTGACCAAACCCCGATTGACGTGCGTATTTCATATCTGCAAAGTATCCATTTAGAGTATGAAAAAACGGAAAAAATGATCGTTTAGCCGTGAAGAGTTCATCTGAAGCCGGTGATCATTTTCTTGTTTGCCATTAAATAATATACACCAGGTCTATACCGGAGAAGAACGATGCAATTTCTAAAAGTTCCATTTGTTGTAACAAGTGCGGTGTTTAGGCCTTAGGCTTTCGTGGTAGTTGGAATATAAAAAAAATGCATAGAGATTTTTCACTTTGTTCACGCTAAAGACAACATCAATGAAATTTCTTTCCCAATAAAAACAAATTTTGTCGTGTTCGGTCCAAAAAATTGTAAAGTTTTTTTAAAACCTTACATTCGCTCCCGTCTTATCTCACACTTTAAAAATTCAACACAGCCTCTAACTTAATGTAAGACGGCAAAGCGATGTTGCCATACGTTCCAATTTTCCCTGACATAAAGCAAACGTTGCTCGTACCGCAGTTATTGTTGCTTCCGACTGTACCTGACCAAGCCCCGATTGACGTGCGTATTTCATATCTGCAAAGTATCCAATTAGAGTATGAAAAAACGGAAAAAATGATCGTTTAGCCGTGAAGAGTTCATCTGAAGCCGGTGATCATTTTCTTGTTTGCCATTAAATAATATACACCAGGTCTATATCGGAGAAGAACGATGCAATTTCTAAAAGTTCCATTTGTTGTAACAAGTGCGGTGATTGGGGGTTACAGAGTGCGGTTGCACGCTACCGTACTACCTGCTGCGGTACTGCCATTCCAACAGCAGGATATTGCAGACATCGGCGTAGAACGTGGGGTAGAGCAGACGGCAATTATTCAGGGAATTAAAAATGAATAAGACAGTTAAGAAAATGGGAAAATAGTGCATGACAATACCCTACTAGATTGGGCTAACTAATTGAAAACCGGCCTATTGTATAAAAAATGTATAGGCTGATTTTACAAATGAGATATGTTCTTAAGGGTAAATGAAAAGGTATTCCGCGTAGAAATACAATTTTGCTTAGTAAACTGATTGTTGTTTAAATCGAAAAAATCTTATTTGCGTTTATTCAGAAAACTATGAGGTATTAGTCTAAGTGGTCACCTTGAGAGTTGTATCGTGGGAACTACCATTAAAATGGAACCTAATTTTCTAAATTTCTGGAGCACCACTGTCGCTAGACGGCTCGTAAGAATGGCTCAAAAAAATGTGGTGGTAATTATATACTTTCCGAAAATGTTGAACATATGTGAGGATTTTTTTTCTGGGTTGACAGGTATTTAGTTTTTGTAAAAAATCAATTGAAAAATTATAATTTTTTATGAAAAAAAGTAACAGGTACTAAACATATGAGGTCACATTTTGAAGATATTTACATGATCTACAACTTTTCTCAGATTCACTCTTAGCAATTCCAATAACAAACATGGTCACCAAGAAATCCTAATAAATACATGTAGATACTGTGAAGTTTTAAAGGGATACCTCACCGGGACTCTAGCCGAGATACATGTGTGAATGACACATGTTCTGGCTCCACCTTAGATATCCGCCGGGTAATACCTACACACTGGACAACCTGAGACCATCTACCACTTACGGACAATCAAAACATCCAGAGAAAATTTCGTTCTAGCGGGATTCGAACCTGCGCACCTCACGTCGACTGATTACACTGGACAACAAATTTTAGTTTTTTAATTGTATTTTGTGGGAAAAGTGCACTTCTTTGTTAATTTTGGGGCGCTGAATCCAAAAATGACAATGAAATAAAAAAATTAGTTGCGGTTTAGAAAAAAAACTTTTTATTTTTAAGGATATATTAAAAAAGTAACAAGATTCATATACTTATAAGAATCACTATATGCGCTGTCTTTTTGCTGTTCTTTTATGGATCGTTTCTGGAGCATCTCTACCAAGAGTCCAACAGTAGTCTGCAAGCATGGAAGGATTCCACTTTCCCTGGTACCTTTTTTCCATTGTTGAAATATCCCGATGAAAACGTTCGCCGTGCTCATCACTTACGGCTCCGCAATTGTCAGGAAAAAAGTCCAGGTGTGAGTGTAGGAAATGTATCTTAAGAGACATATTACAGCCCATCTTTTGATACGATGACAGCATATTTTTGACAAGGGTTTTATAGTTGTCAGCTTTTCTATTTCCCAAAAAATTAGTGACCACCAGACGGAAATCATTCCAAGCAGTTTTTTCAATACCTGTGGCCCAACAAAAATACCTTCTTTAACCTTTGCCTCACTTAGTCTTGGAAATTTCTGACGCAGGTATTGAAAAGCTGACCCATCTCTATCTAATGCCTTGACAAAGTTTTTCATTAGGCCCAACTTGATATGCAGTGGTGGTACTAAATTTTTTTTCGAATCTACTAATGGCATATGCTGTACATTTTTTTGACCTGGCTCTAGGAATTGACGAACAGGCCAGTTTTGTCTGGTGTAATGAAGTGCCTTTGCCCGACTGTCCCATTCACACAAAAAACAGCAAAACTTTGTGTAGCCTAGCTGCAGCCCAAGTAAAAGTGCAACAACTTTCAAATCGCCACAATTATGCCATTGGTGCTCATCGTATTTTATGCATGTCAATAGGTACTTCATATTGTCATATGATTCTTTCATGTGAAC